ACCGAAATAAGGAACAACCTTGCATTCTTCTTCGCGCAAACAAAGCAGTAACGTACAAGGAGAGGTAGAAATATGAGATGTACATATTGTGACAGTCCTCTGTATTTACGTAAGTTTTTTCTCGTAAGCATATATGCTCCAGACGTTCACATTGATACGTTGCAGGCAGGTTGTAGGTGCAGGTACTTCCGGCGTACACACTTGTGCGTAAACCCATGGGAACCGCTCCTTGGTAAATATTTTAACCTCGTTCTGGATATTTCTGGATCTTTCTTTCGACATATGCATCTTCGGAGCGGCTAAAAGTGTACTTGTATCAAGACTCGGTGCCTCATGCATCTCTTTTGATGTTTTTGCAATTAACATTAGCATCCATAAGACTGCATGTTTCTCTTTAAATGCGTACTTTCTTCTGGATGATTGCAGAGACTTTATGGATCTTCAAAACACTCTAGTGCATGTAAATCTAACCAGATCCTGCTGTGCGGCAACTAGCCGTGAAAATCCCAATGGCTAATTTGCGCTAATTGTATTCTTTTAAGGATGGATGGATGGATTTCGGGATTTGTGAGTTGAACCTCGAAATTACCAATCACTTCGATGGTCACGTCGCGCTGTCATACGCGTTGAATATCCAGGTCTTTCAGGGTAATTTTAAATGGTCCTAGTAAACTGAATGCAGATGTGATGCCTCCATCTAGGTAGCCTATGACAGAATAGTGCTGACGATTTAAAATAATGGTCCTATCGGAGGTCGAAATCCGGGCTCAGCTGGAGCGGAATCAGAACCTGGTGGTCGTCGTGGAAACGGCGCTTCAGGCGACGAAAGGGCAATGCAAGCTGATGGAAGAGAAAGTCTCGCGGACTCGCCGCGAATTGCAGACGTTGGTGGATCGAGAGAGACGACTGAGAGAACTCGCTGATGAAGACGAGGAGCGGATGGGATACGTGGAACGGATGCGACCGCTGGGATGCCGGGATCCCGTGGAAGAAAAACGAGCTGTCGCCTGTCGATCCCTCGTGGAATGGAAGGAACTGCAGAGTGTGATGGTGCGGTTCGCCGAGGCCATGGTGCTTCGGAAGCCTCTTGCAGGGAGGGAACGGCAAGGCCGGGGGCAGACCGAGATCGAGCCGGCATCGAAGCCGACCGAAGAGGAACGGGAGACTCGTCCGGAAATGCAGATGTTGGAAACCCCTGCGATCCCGATTTCGGGAATGGATATTTTAGGATTCCAAGGAGGCGGAGATGAGCGAGATGCAGAGAGCGACGGGTCGAACGTCTTTGGCGTTCGGTCGGATTCGGATACTGCAGTTCTTTCTGCTCTCGAGAACGACAGCGATCTCTTTCGCACCGGCAAGGAACCTTTCGAGTCGATGCAGGAAACCGACCCGAACGTTCCTAAGTCTGCATCGTTAGATACAGGCTGGGTTTCTCGAGATTTCACGGCCGAGTCGTCCGATATTTTTAAAGCAAAGTCGAGCTTCGTCGACCGTTCGGAAGATGCCACATTGGACGTGACGAATGTGTCCCGGGGCAAGAGGAGCTCTGCATTCCTGGATGCGCTCTTCACTGCTCCGGTCGAGTCCGATTTCGAGGAAATGTTCCAGACGAGGTCCCCTAGGAAGAAAGCGAAGCCCAACGAAGAACCCGGCGCCGCTGTTCGTGGCGGAGCGGATCCGTTTCATCTCTTCGTCGGAGAAAGCGCGACTCCAGTCGATGGTTTCCAGGAAGTTCCTGGAGGCAACCCTGGATTTGCGGGCGACGTCTTCGCCAACACGTTTGGCAATGGCAGCATTTTTGGTGCCGATGACGGAGGGACTTCTGCATTCGACTGGTTGCTCTAAATCCGCGAACAAGAGCTTCAGCCAAGTCTGTTAGGCGTATTTCAACTCATCTCGGCTCATTTCAGCTTTTTCTTCTTTTTTTTTTATCCTAGCCAAATCGACTCAAAACTCGGTTACTTCCCTGTCCACAATATCATACTAACCAAGAAATTTCCTTGTGATTTGTTCGTCTGCTTCCTCCATCCAGAATAAGAATCTCCCGGTGAATTTCATGTCGAGTTATTTATTCTCTTCATCTTGTCTCTTTGGCGAGTTGTCTATTGGTTTCCCCAATTCCCAAACGTCTTCAAACGTACAACAGTAGTCTGAGATCAGATCTAAGAATTTTGGCCGATAGCTTTCAGCGCCTCTTGAAGTTTCAAAGCTGTTTCAAAGAATAAATCTCTTTGAAAGATATCGGGTGGATTGCATAAAACTGACTAGCGTAATGGAACTTTAAACCTCATTTAGCGGCGCTGAAGCTCCATTACGCTAAAGTCAGTTTTGTGTAATCCATCCATCGTCATAACAATGCGATCCATGAAGAAGATAGCCTTCTTCAGTCTGAGATATAAAAATCATCGCCAAAATTAACACCGCGGCTTAAACATTGCATCAACCAATGGCTGAGGTAATCAGTTGGATTTCGCGGCAGATTACAGTTTAATCATGCAGTAAAGTTTCAGATGAAAAGAGTCAGATGCAGGGTTCCGTGCTGCATGAGAAGGCATATTCAGCTTTTCCTGAAATTCATTTCATTTCTCTAAAATTTTGCTTTGCTGGCATGGATGGTAATAGAAGTTGGGCATGAACCAAAAGCATAATAGTATTTGATATAGTTTTTAATATGTTAGCGCGGACGGGGATGACCATACCCGAGGTGCAGTGGGGGAGGGGGGGGGGGGGCAGCCGCCCCTCCACCCCATGGGCGCCAGGAGGGGGGCTCCTGGCGCCCATGGGACAGAGCTTGACGCCCCCTTGAAGGTAATAATTTAATAATTTCATCAGGGTCGGATTGGCGACCTAGGGCCCACCCCACCGGGAAAATTGCTGAGAAAGTGCCCCTGCACCCCCCTGATGCAGACCAAGGGCCCCCCCGGGAAATTTTCCGGTATCCCTGTGGGCCAGTCCGACCCTGAATTTTATTCCCTGGTATCGCTTGGGTGGAGTTTGTCGTCCCCATCAGGCTGCCCTGTCCTCCGACTCTTCAGCCAAAATACGCCACTGCCGAGGTAATAGGTTATGCTGACTACGAACAAAGGTAGTGTGATCATTTCGTACAGGTGAGGAGGAATCGTAGGAGAAACCTCAGAGTGTCTTTGCCTCTCTTTCCTTCGCGGTGATTCCTTGGGAATTCACTCCTCAAAAGTCATTCTTGATTCCATACTGGACTTGAAAGGACGTTCGTCGTAAAAGGCTGACCAGTACACATGATTTACTTCAGAACAATAAAACACTCCTGCAAGCAGCAACACCCGGGACCGGACAAGTAAGGAAATAGGTATTCGTAATTCCCTCGATCGATTGCGTATTCGTGAACGTCTTTCAATTCGACAGTAGCCAGCAGCGTAGCGTCGGGTGGGGGGGGGGGGGGGGGGCCCGTGCCCCCCAGAAGTAAATCATGTGTACTGGTCAGCCTTTTACGACGAACGTCCTTTCAAGTCCAGTATGGAATCAAGAATGACTTTTGAGGAGTGAATTCCCAAGGAATCACCGCGAAGGAAAGAGAGGCAAAGACCCAGAAATGCATAACAGTATCTGAGTTCCCATGCCGCTCCACTTTTTCCCTCCACGCTACGCTTGTGACGGTAGCCAGTGCCAATCACCAGAGTAATAGCGAAATCATGCCTGACCCCGAGGAAAGGTGGAACGAGAGATCGGGAACGTTTAATTCAAATGAACAGGAGGAAGGTTAAAGGGAAGTACTTATAACCTAGAAGCAATGAACGTGAAAGACCTCCGTGACCTTTCAGACGAAAGAAGCTGAAGCCAGGTCAATGTTGCCCGTTAACGAGAAAAAAGAGAAAGGTGGGTCCGGTCCCAGGGTATGGGCCTTATTCTCCTGGCACTTACCTGTAGAGTTCTGAATCAAGATGAAAACATGATTCTGTCTCTAGTCCTCGGTTAACAGTACGAAATGGCGAGAGAAGTGGCAGAGGTCAAAGATCAGGGGTCAACCTTGGGGAATATGCTCGTACCGAGGCTTCCATGAAGTGGCTCACAGAAAGCTGCTCCTACATACATAGAACAGCTCCCTCCCCTCTGGCTACAGGGCCGTATCTAGGATTTCATTTTGGGGGGAGGGGGGTTGAGGTCTGGCGTATGCGCCGTGGCTATTTTTTTTAATATTTGTCATTGTAAGTCTTTGTGACATATCTGGATTTTCCTGCAAGTTGCAGTGTTTAATAAGTCATGAGCTATTAAAGATAGAAAAGACCAAGTACTGCACCGTTTACACCTACGAATAGCAGTATAGCAAAAATTTAAGGAAGATATTTCGGGGGGGGTTTGAACCCCATGAACCCCCTCCCCTAAATACGGCCTTGTCTGGCTAGGCCACTCCCTTCGTGTTGTGTCAGCTGAACTGTCAAAATATTAAGTCACTCTGTCCACTCTCTTTATTAAACGCCACAATGTAACAAACTTCTTCATCCAAATAACAGAACTCCTGTCTTGTCATCCATTGAATGCAACTTCTCAATGCCTCAATCTGCTCTTTGGGGAGCAAAATTTATCTAGTCTGGTATTACCAGGAAAGCATTAAATCATTGAGAAAGAAGTCTTGTATGCTGATTAAATTCATGGGTGAATTTTCCCAAATGACCCCACTTCTGGGACTAGCTTTGCAATAATTCAAAACCTCCTAACCATATAATTGTACTCGATGTATAGTACTAGTTGAGCAACTATGAGTTGCTCAACAAGTACTATACATCAAGTCACTCATCTTTGAGACACTGGGAGTTCATTTGTAGTGAATGTCATGGATTTTGTATTCATTTTATTATATATCCACCCAAATGTCCCCAGGACAGTGTCTATAATCAATCTGAGATGTTCAAAATAATCACGAGTGTGACTATCACTGGAGACATATACAAATGATGGAAGAAACAGACACAATGGATGAATTCGAATTCCATGAACACAGTGATCACATTGAAATAAAGTGGAGACTGTATGAAGGATGGTAGGAGATTCTTTGGCATATGAGATCAGAGCAAGGGAGTCCCCGAGGAGTTCTAGAACTATATCAATAAAAACAATTCATCCATCTAATGGAGGTCCCAGGTACACCATGGACACTTCAGTCTTCCCATACACTGCTGAGATGCAAGGGAAGAGCTGTCGGTCTGGAAGGCCTATAGAAAAGTTCACAATTAATTCAATATCAACATATTGAAAACAAAAATTCAAATTACTTTGATATGATTACATGTCCTATGTGCAGAATTGAGAATATTAGAGGACAAAAAACCAAACACAAGCCCTTTCATATTAAAGCTGTAGCCAGTCAACACAGTCCAAACTGATTTGGTCAAAGCCAGTTGAAACGGAGTAAATCCACATATTTCCTTTCTTATCAAGGTGCCAGAGCCAAAAAATATGCTTCCCTTCTCTTTGACTTTAGTGCTGGTATCCCCAATGGATGCACAATACTTTCAGGCAATCTAACATTGACATTCTGGACCAAAACTTAACACTTGGAGTTTGACAGTGTCCAATTTGCAGCACTTATTTAGGCCTATTTAATGAAGGCAACTCATACACAAAGCTCCATCTCCTCAGGTATAAATTATTTGAAAGACCTTATGCTACATGCCAATAGCCTTTCTGAGATCATATTCTTTAGAATCTAAGGTAGAAAGAAAGCCATATTTGCAATTCATGTAGTAAATACATCAAGAAGAATGATTCACAACTCAGAAAGTTGGCCAATCACTAGGGCTCCTGACTAGTTTGAGATCAAGAAGGCTTCTTCCTCTTGGGTGAGTAAGCTGCCCAGCCAGACTATAATGTATTGTTATTGATTTTTGACACAGATAGCTTGTGAATCTAGCAATTTCCAAGTATTTCCAACAGAGTACTTAAATTTCAACTACATTCATTCGTAATTTGCATACCAGCTTCTTCTGATGCAGAAGACCACAACCAAGAAGGCTTTGCATAATAGGAGAAAATTTATTTACTTATTACTGTCCAGGAGAGTTTGCCCACAAAGGCATTAATGGCTAGTCCTAATTTTAACACTGCCATACGACCTAGCAGCAGGTCATATGCCAAATACATCCTTATGTGTTCTGTATATTTGTGGCTGCTGTCTATGGCTTTCACATTCATGATGAAACTAAGATCCACAAAGGTTAAATATGCCTTAGAAACAGAGATAGAAAGAAAGAGTTTAGGTTAAGAGGTTTCTATTTAATTTTTGGCATTTTTTATATAGGGAAAAAGATATCAACCTCGAAATGCAACACCCAGGAACTCATAGTTCTTCTCAAATGCAAGGGTATTGTCTTCACAATCTAGTATCACACGGATCCTCTCCCCAACCTGCATACACAAAAAAAAGGATTGTTAAATAAAACTTCAGCAAGTAGATTCTGTAATTGCACGCATATGCTGTGAATCTAAAAAACAGACCTGATATCGAGGAGCATTGTTGAGATGTGGGTAGTTTCCCTGAGAGTCCCCATTATGAAGGAGGTGGTTATCAACTAGGTTCCAGCCCCAGCTCTGGTCATCTGAGCCAAGTAAGGGTAAATATCCATGGCAATGCAATGCCATGTCCTTAGTGGCAATCCCTATCACAGCCACCGTGCCCAATGGACCCTCCCATATCACTTCCCATGCATGACGACCTGACCTATCCCAAAAGGAGAGTTTGTATTACTTTCTGAACAAATGAGGTATTAAGCAAAGCTATTTTTCATGGGAGTTTTACCTTTTTATCAACACTTGATTCAAAATGGCTGCCCTGTCAAGTTACCCCAGCACAAGGTCCCAATAATTGATCTGCTTTATGTTGCTATATCTCTTGTTTTCATGTTATTCTGCAATGATGGAGTCCTTTTAAAACTTTAAATCTCTTCCAATTTTCTTTAAAATCTTCTTGACAAATATGTCAGATTAACTTTGTTCTTTGTGAAGACAGAACCTTGTGGATCCATGTTGTTTCATTTTGGATAAACAATATTCACGAAGATGAGGGTAACTTTGTCATACTTTTGTTTCTATAGCCATCCCACATTCATCAATTAAGAACTCTACATTCACTAGGTCACACTGAAACTTGTTGCAGTTTGTATATATTGACATCCAGTCTAGATTTAGGTCCGCCTTAATATGAAGCACTTTATACATGCCAAACAACGTTAGCTTGACGTGATCAAGTCATAGGTGTAGCTCACCGGAAGCCTAGTTTTCCTCTGGCTGCGTCTGTGCTTTGTGCTACAGGATGCCGATGAAGTGTGAAGCCATTCGGCTTGATGTAAATATTCCTGGAGCAGTCATTGGGATTCCATGCGTGATAGAATGCCCGGAGTTTGGCTTTATACGTAGGGCACGACGACAAAAGATCGGATTTGAGTGCTTCCTCGGCCAGCTTTTGGACGCAGTGCAACCTCCAAACGTCATTGTTCTCATCATTGAGGATCTGATACCACTTTTTGCACACGAGAGAGCAATTTCGCAGCTCCGGGAGCGGTAGAAAAGAAAATATCACTTCAACAACAATCTCCGGCAGGTGAGGGAACGCGACACTGGAAGCCGGCATCTTTAAAAGAATTCTTACCGGACTGCCGGATGTTCAGGCAGCTACAGAACTGTTGGGAGCATAGCTTCAAAGAGTCCCCCATCATTCGTATATAAAAATTTCTTTCCCTTTAACTACATCTGATTTGAAGCAAAGACATTAAGAAAAATCTGCTGTATGCAAAAGGAGGCAAAATGAATCTTATATTACCAAAGGAACAGATGAGAAGGGTGCCAATCATTCTGCTCATCCGAGAATCCAGAAATATTTTAAATTGTTGATTCGTAGTCATGCGCATGAATTTCATGGGTGACTGACGATTGAGCGGGTTTATTTCCTATGCAGTTGGGGTTTTTCTGAAACGAGTGATGACCGGAAAAGAGTGTTTCAAATTCGAAGACATCAGGCATGGCTGCGGCCACATGCCAGTGGTTTCTTTCAACCGCAGGAGCGACGAAATCTGCAAATTTCGCTGGGCATGGGGTGGAGTTCCTTTTTACGAAACGTTTCCCACAGAGAAGGCAAGCCTGGGGAAGAGTTCTATATCATATGACGATGGCATGTGCTCTGCCAGAGTCTTACATGCTTCTTTTTATAGCACCTCTTGTGTAAAAAAAAATCACCATGACCAACGTCAAGTTCCAGTTCCGTCTGTATTCAGAGGTAATTCTTGAAGAATTTCGCTGGCCAAGAAGAATACTCACGATTGAAACATATTTCAAAGTTTCAGGATGGTTTCAAGTTATAGTAATGAACGCCACGCCTGTGTGTGTGTGTCTGGGTGAAGTCTCGGACAGAAGAGTGCAGTCGTACGTATTCAACAGGCTAATGAAGGCCTCCAGTAAGAGCGTGGGGTATTGTCTCTATGTCCAAAAGGGGTGAGGAGGAATTCCTTCCCCACTCCTTGGCGACATTGACTAATCATTTATCCAGCGGTATATCTTGTTTGAAGGGTCGTGGGGGTAGGGCAACAGAGCGGGGGCGCCAAACCCCACCCGAGCGATATCAGGGGAGGAAATTACTGCCTTATAGGGGGCACCAGGGGGGGCAGCTGTCCCCCCCATAAAATATGCCACTGTCTTTAGTGTACAGTATGGAATTGTAGAAATGTATTATCTCAGCCCATTTTCAATGTTCAATAATCAGATGTTTGGTATGGCACAATATTGTTGATATTTTACACTTGCTACATGTAAATTTCTTTTGATAATGCATCATGTGATGCTTGGAATTTGCAATCAGGGATAGCCTTGATGTTGGGAATAGATGGAAATAGTATGGGACATCTAATGAATTAGAAGCAAGAGAGACCTGACATTCCAAATGTTGGTGATATGCTTTGCAGGTCATGAATGGTCTTTCAGAAAAAAAATAGAGCGAGTGTTTCATTTGTAATACCTACCTCCCTTATGAAAAAATGTGAATGGTTCAAGGAAAATGTTGCTTTTTCTCTTGTTGTATATTTTAATATCTATGATGCAAGTTTCTAATAATGCAATTCAGATGCAATAAACTTTCAACCTGATGCAACTCCTGAACTTATGTATTTAAACCTAGTATACTTCATTCTATTGACTGAAGGTGGTGCAGGTTCCAATTAAAAAATGAGTAGTCACCAAAATTTTATTTTGTTTTGTTGTTTTGTTCTGAGGCCACATTCACACCCCTTTGAAATGTGTTGAAACACACATTGCAAGCATGTTTCAAGTGGACGTAAATGGTTATGTAATCCATGTGGTACTTTACTACTTGAAGCACTGTAATCATTCAGGTACTTTGGCATTACTATCAACGGAATCAATAAAAATCTTTCCTGGGGTGAACCAGTGGCATATATAGGGATTTAGGAAGGGGGCTCAGTATTTCAGCAGCCAAAATGACAGGTGGGAGGTTGTTATGTGGGACTAAGAGGAAGCTTGAGCTCTTTGAAAGCCTATATCCCTTCAAATGCCACTGTAGTAAGCTTGGCAGTGAATCACCATCAATGCAGCATAGTGCTATACCATCTCAGAAACTTAGAGTAGAGTTAGGCTAATTACTGAGAGGAGAGCAATTTATTGGGCCTAATTTATCCCACTGTGACTGATATTCTTGTAAAATCCACTTAGCTAATAGGCTTTTGTAATTTTCTGTGTAAATTGAATTTTTTATAGCATGGTTGCCCTCTATTTTATAGTTTCTGATGATGAGTATTGGTAGAGGCCAGACTTGTGAAGAGTTTCAAAATTGGTCCTATTGTTGCATCCCTATAAGAACCATTTCTGCCAAAATCACTAATTCCCAAGAAAGGCAATAAACTGCCATACCCTTACTCAGATGGCAACATCCCTACATCCATGTAGAAGACTTTGGTAAAGAAACCTCTTCCATGCATTATATGTAGGGTAAATGTAGCATATTGTTGAAGCTATCCAATATTCAGTTGGACCTGTCTGAAAGACAGAGAAGTCACTTTTTATGTTCCAATGTTTATATGTTCCAAGAGTAATGTGTCATTTAGAAAATTTTTTCATTATCTTGTGAAAAAAATCCCCCATATTTATGTAGTCATATAAAGTTACTTTAAATTAAATGTATACAAAGGAAACCATGTGCATATGACAGAACATGATGTTTGGCACCTTTTTCATTTTGCATCATCACCTTTAAAATGTCTGTCTAGTTATTTCTTTTTAAAGGCTCTGGCCATCCCAGTCAGTAATATGCTGCCTCTAGAGCAGTGCTTCTCACCCTTAGTTGTAGCATACCGGTTGCAAAGCACTGCTCCAGAGAATGTCTTTAAAACCATATGGTGGATGCATAATTCATGCACTTCCACAAGGTGCAGTTTCTTTGCTGCCTCAGATGTAAGCACTCCCTCTCCAAGCTCAAGTCCACCTCTTTACTTGCGTGCAAGTAAAGAGTTCCAACTACTGTATTGCAGGTAACCATTAAAGCCCCCAAGGAATGTCTTGAATGGTTCCCCAGTTGCTTTGATGTTTCTTGCCTTTTCTATCTTACATTGCTTTTCATTGCTTGTTTTCTTAATGGTAGCCTTGATCTGCCCTAAGACAGATTTTGTATTTTTGCAGTTTTTTGTCTTTGGCATCTATTGAAAACATGCTAGTGATGCTTTCCAGCCTGTTTCATATGCCTTATTACATGTATGAGATTGCATAGCCAATGTGGAAGTCAGACTTCTGAATCCCTTGTCTGATACAATGTCTGATCCCAAAGCATCTGCCCCCACCCTGGGGTCACAAACTTCAGTTGCCAATGTGGTGATCCAGGACCCCAATGGTAAAGTCCTTTCATTTCCTCCAGTATTCCCAAAATGATTTATACTCAGCCTTGTTATTTTGTCTGGTATAGGACACCCACAGTTGATACGGGTCATTCAGCCACTACAGGCAAAGAATACCACCTCCCTTCCTGTTACTACTACTATCCCCAGTGGGGCTGTGAAGGCAATTTTTCGAACTCCTGGCAGCATGGAGGCGCAGTCTGTGAGTTCATTAGTTTCATAGCTTATTTTGCAGAAGTCATGTTAGATTTATGAATTGCTATCATAAAGATGACTTCATTTTTAAAAATTATAAATGGGGTGTTATAGGGAATATTGAAATGGTATAGAATGATGTCATGCAATGCTTTGGAGTGAATAAGGGAGACTAATCAAAGGGTTGCCAGACAATTGGATGAGCTTAAATAGCCTAGCATATGTTCCTTGTCTATAAGAGGAGACAGTTCTTGAGCCCTTCAAGCCCCAAGCCTAACTGTCGCTCCAGGGTGGACATGAGAAAAGATGTGCTTCATCCAGCTTGGGATCTTTACCATATGTGCCAGCAAGGATGGGCTTTATTCAAATAGTTTTTAATTTGCCAAGCAAAAATCATTGCTTCTCCATTCCACTTAAAAAAGAGGGAAAGCTGGTACAACTTGCAAAAGTAGCAATATTGACTTGAAATTGAAAAAATTCCCTAATTTAAGTTGAAAAGATAGCTCAAATGCTGTGTCACAATATTATTGCCTAAGGTAAACTCATGCCAACAGATTCTGAAAGTGGAAAAACATATTAAATGCTCACATTTTTTGGGCTTACTCTACCAATAGTTTCTAGGATCCTTATATGCCTGGGTAGGATGGTTTCAAACTCAAACAAGCTCATTCTCACAAAGCAAGCATCTGCCTGAGCATTGAGAAGTCAGCAATGCTAAGGCAAGTTTACTGTATATTCAGAGAAAGATGTTCTCCCTCTAATTGATATAAATAGGAGAAATTAGGAGATTAGGAGGAAATTAGGAAAATATGAGAAAAATAGGAGAAATAGGAGAAAATGATGGTAAAGACCCTAAAAATAGGTATTATTATCTGAAGATTACTTCTTTTTCAGTTTTAAGGTTTGTGACCTTTCTCAAAAATAATCAAATTGCCACATGGAAATACCATTTTAAATTTATACAGGATACAAAGAGCATGTTTAATATTCTTGGGTAGGTACTCAATAAATAATGCCTAGATTTCATGCAAAGAGTCTTCAATAGGGACATAGTTCCATATGATAGAATTGCATGTGAAACGATGGATTGAAATATCTTATGACAAAGCCCCCAATTTGCACGTTCTTGTGACAAACTTGCATCTAACATAGATAGTCAGTGAGGTCAAGGCATGAGATGAATAGTCAATTGACCTTGGAATCCCACATGCTCTTTGTAATTTTTGCATTATTCAGAAAAATGAATGAGTTATATGATGCTTTTATGAGACATGATCCCAAACTATTTTAATAGACACCTTAGGATATGAAAATTGTCTGTGGTGGATGAACAAGTTCATGCCTACTGCATCCATTCTGATTGATTTAATATTTGTATTGGTACTTTTAGTGATATCAAGCATTTGAAGTTCAGGACATGATAAGCAACTTGCATAATTAATCAAAAGTCCATTAGTAGCTAGCTTATCAGAATTGGTTTGGTAGTCTTTAAAGCCCACATGACCTTTAGTCCACTCTGGACAGATATGTGAGCATTGTTATCATCATTAAAAAATGTCATTATGGTAACATTTTCATCTGGCAGATGACAGTTGGCCATGTAATCTGTGTGTCATCATATTCAGGAAAGAAGTTATGTGCTAATTAAAATGTATTTACTCTCTTTTGTAGTCTGATCAGCTGAGTTAAAATTTTTCTTAGATTAGTAGCCCTAATTTAAAAAGACTGGTGTTTTTCTGTTGTATCAGAATTGTCCTATAAGTACAGGTCAACCATAAAAACTGACCAAATTTATTTCTATAATGAATTAGTTACCATCTTAATGAATCCTCTTAATGGCAGGGTCAAGAGCATTCTGTACTATGTTCAGTACTATGACTGTACCAGTGTGGTGGGGTGTGCATGGTGTGCATTTCAACTTTTGACTTACTTTTAACTTTACTTTTGACTACTCTTGCAGGTACTACTTGTTTCAAGTCCAAACTTTCTGTGTAGCACCGAGTGCACTCACTCCCAAAAAAAACTTTGGCCATGAGGCACAACCAAATGTAGAAAACTTCCATGGCAGGGGGATTGATTGGATGTTTGATGCTCAGCTTATGGGGTATAGCAGGTATTTGAATTAATTTTGAAATGGTTCAAGACAAGGTAATTTTTTTTCCTACCAAAATTACTACATAACAAGTTCCACTTGTGCCCTAAATTTTAGACTTTTATCAAGTGGCATATAGCAAATAATATGTTGGAAAAAAAGCTAGTTTGATTATAATAAACAATTAATGCTTATTTTTGACTGCTTGATAGAGTAAGAGCAACATTTTGTATAAAGAAAAAAAAATTAAAGAATATGAAGGAAGTAGTACCCAAACTTGTCTTGAGGTGAATTTCCTTGAACATTAAAGTGTTAGGGAGCAGGATTGGCAGTTTAAAGTTGACTTGCTGCATAGGTGTTCAGGGATATGGTCAGAAAGTCAGGGTTCAGTGTCTTTAATGTAGAATTTAAATGGGCCTAATTGCACAGGTGGTATTGTGAGCAAGAACTTACATGTTTCTGAACCTCTATGAAATCTAAAATGAACACTTAGGTGCTAAAGTAAGATAATGAGGTTGCCTAATGATAATCAGATTTTCATCTTCAGGTTATCCCACCCTGAAGCTTATGAGCCTGATGTTTTCCTCTTTTACTCTTTTATTGATCCATCAAGGTTTTTCTTTGTCAAGTTATTAGCTTGTGATATGATGAAGCCCTCTTTGTTAATATTTCATGCATACAAGGAAGGGGTCACAAAGCATTTTAATGTTTCAGATATACTGCAATGATGAAAGACTTCCCCCCAGCCCCTGTGTAATATGAAATGGGAGAAATGCCCCCTTTTCAAAATAAAACCGAAAGACTAAGGGAAAGTAGTAAAAAAAAGAATAGTCTATCATGGACCTGACAGGTTTTTTTCTGCATTCAAGAAAATAATAATAGCAAAGCATCATTAGTGTATGTGAGAATCTTTGTTGGAACTAATGCAGTTAATTAGAAATTATGTTCTTTTGAGCTGCACAATGATGTAACTCCATGAAGCAGATGTTGATCAAATTTTTCTTCCAATATATTGTGCATCCATTTCAGTTGATGAAGGTGACAGTATGAGCAAATGGTATGTGCCAGAAAATTGGGAAATCCCCAAGGAAAGTAAACTTATGCCAACAAATATCAAGTGTCACGGCAAGCAAAGTTTTTACGAATGACTGGCAATTAGGACTGAAAAGTTGTGCAAAAACCTTTTGGAATGCCTTTTGATGAGAGAGCATGCATTGGTCCTTCGAGTAAGGTAAATTTCAATACAGTCACCGTGACAAGAGTCACTCACAGCATGGTGTATACCTATAGGCATTTTATTCCCGCAGTGAATGTGATAAGGACCTTAGACGGGACGGGACTATCCATGGGTAGGGTCCTCTTTCCATACGTCCTCTTTCTTTGCTTTCCGTCCAGGAGGAAGGTGTCCTGGGTTACTATACTCCAGATATTTTCCCTGGACATGTCCACCTTTTTCGCCCTTTAAATTTCCGTCCGACTTCTAAGGGTCCTTTTTTTGGCTGTCCGGAACATGGTAACCGTACCCAAGGGTGAACGTAGGGATCAGGATCCCCATCCTAAAATGATCTTATCGGGAGTGCGTGGCAACCATCCCGATTCCCTTGATGTACAGTATTTACTCGTTGACTCGTTTAAAACAGCAATAAGCAAGGAGGTTCTCATGATACAAATTATTTGCTTATGAATGTCGTCATTGTAATAAATTAGTAGGGCTTGAATGTGCGGAAATTGACATCGGTACCGTGTTTTTTGTTGTAATATTTGAATACCGAATATCAGTCAAAATTCAATATCGTTGCGTCTCTAATAACCCTATTGTAAATTAGAAAGAGGCTCTTTAAGTATCCACCTGTTCTACAGTTTCTGGTCATCAAGTGCAAATGAGTAAATTATATTTTATAATAGGTACTGGTACCTAAAATTTATGTACTGGTACTTCCATTTGAAATACATCTAGGGGAGACAAAAAACTACGGATACTGAAAATGGTGCTTTCTAGTACCATAAGCTAATAGCTTTAAAGTTTAGATTAATTGATGTTGCAGGTGCAAAATGGGTGATGCCAACTAGATCCCCTTATTTTCATGCTTCCAATTCTGTGGGGAACGAACGACGTATATTGATTGTGGACTGCAGTACCGGAATGTCCTCTCCATTTTTTAAGGTACTTCAGATTTTTCGACTGTATCAGACGTGATACATGTCCTAAAGTGCTTGGGAAAAAATGGAATGACCTCGTCTGAAGGGGATACCTATCGTATCGGATCCTACCAGATGTGCCGTTTGAGCCTGTCGCTTAAGCTAACGGAACTCCCATATGGCAGCGCGATGAAAGATTTTCGTGCTAGTCGTCTTCCTAGGGTCATACACGTTTGGGGGGACTAGCGAGATGAATTTTCAGTATTCAGTGTGAGAGGAAAGCAATGGTTAAGACTCATCTCTCGTGGAGGCATGATAGAGAGTCTGGTCGACGATGCTTTCATTTCCATTGGTTTGGAATCTTTATGTACCATCTCTCTTTGGTATTTGTCTGTGAAGATCTCCTCGGACAATTTGCCTATCTTTGACTTGTTTCGTTCCTTGATTACCAGTCCTTCGGCGTGACTCATTTATGTCAGACTTAGTGCGTACCTCTCCGCCCTAGCACTGTCAAGTTTTTCACTTCGTGAGTCAATGAAGGCTATGGCCCTTATTCTCACATTGTGCGTTACTTTTTTCGTGTGTCGAGTCACTTCTCTTCATCTTACGAAAATTTTCGCGTTTGGGGAAGTTCTTTTTTTTTTCCCCTAAACTTATTTTCTTCCTAAGGAAATTTTTGCATCAAGTGAGTGAATGACTGCACGCGTTACATCCAGTACACAGCAAAATAGAAACGTACAGCGAGGTACATATTTTATACGTTATGAGGTACAAACGTACGTCGTAAAATGTTTTCGTTGAAAAGGTACCGAAGCAAAATAAGTTACAAATGTGTGCCCTTTTTTTAAATCTCTATTCAGAAGGTACGGATGGTGTTTTCTTTAGAATCCTGTGTACCTCGTTTCTGGCTTAAAGGCGTTTCAAAGATCTGCTCAATGACCACAATTTTCAGCTTTGTGGAGTTTTGAAGTGAGCTTTAGTGACTCCGACAGTCACAGATAAGGAAAATCCTCTTACACCATCATATTCACGGAAACGGTGACAGCTCAGTAATGTCTACACGACGCTACAGAATGTGCTTGCTATCTCATAAACAGCGCCTTCTCCAATTATCATGGATATACAGTATGTAGCAAGTCCACCCCATTGTAAATACAATATTTCAAGATTATTGAAAGTTGGCTGCTCTTTCGTTCCAGGGGAAACTCCTAACCTATCAATTTACACTTTTCTGTCCTCTTGCAAAGCCCCAGCATTTAAAATTTTCCAGAATCATTGATTGCCATTGAAACCTGATAATTATACTTTTATCAAATACTACTTTATAAGTATCACGATGAGAAGAATTCAGGGAAAATAAGGAAACTCTTCTAAGGCCCGGTGCGTCCTGACTCAAGTTCGAATGTTCGGGGGAACATAAACGCCATCTTATGCCTATTTTTTAGTAATTTATTGGGAATCCGGACATCTGTGTCTGCAACATACCAATGTATACGTCTGGACCACATCCACACAAAGGTACGTACGGAGGTACGAATGAGGTCTCCGAAGGACACAAATATGTACGTCTCACATTTGTACCTCTCCTCATACGTTTCTACTTTGCTGTGTAGGTGTCATGTCCATTGCCCCTCTGGCACGTTTGAGTTCTTCCAATAGCGTGTTGACAGTGACGAACAATGTCGAATTTTCATCACGAGACGCTCGCGTTTCGGTCGATGGTGTTGCATGACGTACAGTACATTGCCAATTATTCCCAATAGTGAAATGCCACGCATGCAAATGATGGTTTGCACGGCGCGCCGTCACTGTGGGACTCGATGACCTCGTGACTACCAGGCAGCAAGTATATATTGCATGTTTGTAGTCTGCGAGATCAGTTATCAGCACGATGGGACCTCACTGCTTTCTAAGGGCGCTTGGTAGTCGAGTAGCGGGAAGGTCCAGTCTCGTTACTGTTACCTCTAGCCTGTCCCACAGTCTGTTCAGTGGGTATCGTCATGGCGCAATGGAAGATTCATACACGTGCTGGTAACGTTTCCGGGCCGGAACGGATTCGGGTTTCCATTCGCACCGGTGTGTTCGTTGGTGAACATTCACTTTTGGCTAGATTTTCTAACGAGGTTGCCAGGTGTTTGGGTTTGACCCAGACGGATTGGATTTTATGTCGTTCGTCGGGGGTCCATTCATGACTTGACCCGCGTTGTACGCTGAAGCGAATATGATGCATACCGCGTAGATATAATACGACTCTCAAAAATGTTTTCGAGTGAGCCTTCAATGGATTTTATGACAACGACTTTGAACGGACGAATCCCGAGCTGGATCGATCTATTTTTATCCGGTGGGCGTTCGACATAGGCGAAATTATTCACGAAGGAAGAGCTGCGTTTAATATTCAGACCAACACTGTAGATATTCTTGAGACGAGAAAAAAAGCCAGTGTGCTTTCGTAAATTTACAAAACTTTCCGCAACGTTGCACTGGGAGGGAGCGCGCAGTGTCTCGGTTTTACTTTAACTCTGGCAATCCTAAGGAGAAACGTCGGAGAAAAAATTGCGAATCACCTGATTCTGTTGAGTGGCTATGAATTATCGATCGCGCAAATGAACATCAGAAAGATGGCGACTTTCTTCATTCAGGAAAAAAAAAAAACACTAACCCGGCAAACCCGGCAATAATTCCTGTAGTAGCTCCATTCCTACAAAAGGTTGCCTGCTCTCGTGAGAGTTACGATTTTTTTTTTTCTTGTTTAGTTTTCGTCGGCCTCCTGCCTTTCTTAATTTTCTCCGTTTTTTCCGAAAAAAAAAGAATCTCCGCGAACGTTTTTCTTCATAAGCAAAAAAAAAATCTGGTTTGCTCAAGTTCTCGCTTCTTAATCTGGAATGAGAGGAGAGCCCTCGTTGTCGTTCCTTGCGTTCTTCGTATCCTAATTCTGTTTCATTTTAAGCATTGCAGTACGTTGATGCCTAAGGCATGTGAGGCGTTGCAGTAGGTCGTCTTCAAAACGAGGTGGTAGGTTTGTTTCACGAGCATGAAGGTAGACGAGGCGATGTTTTATTCTCATTCTCGAGGTGCGACAGCTGCTGTATTTTCAAGCCTGTTCGACGAGGGAAAAGGAGGTCACGTCTTGATGCATGCGCTTTCGGTCGTGTCGCTGGAGGCACGTGCGTACGCACGCGGGTGACGGTCGCTCGTGTGTGCGACACCCCTCAACCGTCCTTTCACTTTTTCCCGATCTCGACCGTGTGCCGGTCGGCAGCGCAAAACGAGGACGCGTATCTGAATCCTCTTCTGCTGTGACGTCATTTATTTTGCACGATTTGACGCAATGTGGCCTGTGAGAGGCGATCGCGTGTCGCATTACGGTCGACAGGACGAGGGGGTCTTTCTTGTTTAGACCGGGACTAAGGAGAAATGTATCATTCTGTTCAATTAATTTCTTAAAGGCGTGAAAACTCAACGGAAACTCAAGATCAATTCAACATGGAAATGTGGTCAAGGATTCAATGAATATTAAGGGAAGCAGCACAGCACCGATACATGGTCTTTTTCATGGAAGTGTTTGACTTCACTAGAAGTGGTGGCACTACTGAAGACCATTTTTATAACTGTAAAAAAAAAAAAGAGTTGAATATTTCATTGGGACATCTTTCAGATTCAGATGGAATACTGAACACTAAGTAGACGACTTCCATACAAGATCTCGTATATACACGTAGTAACCATCATGTAGTGCTTCATGTAGTGCTGCCCTGTCCGAGCATATCGCGGACAAATCTTATTGGCGATATCTCCGAAACCAAATAAAACAGAACCATCGATTGCTGCTGCATCGATCGGCAGTACTTCCGTGCCGGTTGTCATCCCGAGCTGGCCTACGGGCAGGGGCCAACCTCACGTTTGTCCATTCTGCTCTCTAGCGCAGCGGGAAGTCGATGCAAGTATCTGTTCGTGAAGTAGATGGCGGTATTGATGGCTTTCTCGCGCCTTCCGGCCCCACACTCAATGGAGCCATTTCCCTCTCGCCATCGGTATGCGGGAGGTTGTTTGTTGTTCACGCACCTCCTCCTTCCTATAGTTGAGTCCCCCGCGACCCTGTTCGGGCCCAGCAGGCGTATAATGTGGTGCACGCC